TGATCTGATAGGTCTTAGGGAGGCAATTGGCAGGAGGCGGCCTCTCAAGCACCCAGATCCACTACCATGGAGGGCTTTATGAGTGGTGAGTAGCACCTTGAAGCGGACCCGGAGATCAACAGGCAGCCAGCGCAGCTCGCGGAGGATAGGTGTTATGTGGGCGAACCGCGGTGCGCCCACAATCACTCGCGCGGCCGCATTCTGGACTAGCTGAAGTCGCCGGATGCTCTTCAAGGGCAGCCCCATGTAGAGCACATTGCAGTATTCCAGCCTAGAGATCACAAGGGCTCGGGTGACTGTTGTGAGAGAAAGATCCTAAAAGGAACCGGCTGCAGGCCTGACATGTGCCTTCTGCCTCAGCCCTGATCTCCCTGGGTGAGTGAGCCTGCAAGCACGCCCCGAGTCCTGACTCACAGCCTAGCTGCCTACACCGTCACAAGCCCTCTTCAAATGCCGACTCCCGGTCTGACCTAGGCTGCCGCTACCGCAAACCCTGGAGGAGTCAACTCCCGGGCCGGCCTTCCTGCCACTGCTGCTGCCTGCCCCCCCTGTTCCTGGGCGGGCCTAGCTTCCTTCTTCACCGGCGCCACAGTCCATCGCCACACTTCCCGGAGCTTCCCGCTAGCCTCTGAATGCTGGCTGGGAGAACGTTCTCTCCCCCCTGGCCGTGAAGCCGGGCCCCACTGGCAAGGAGGACGTTTGCCCCACTGGCCAGTGTCAGAAGAGAGGGAGGCATTAAAGTTTGGCCAAGCTTCCTCCTCCTCCTCGGCCTCAAGCAAACACACACACACACACACACACACACAGACACCTCATGGCACCGGACCTTCTGCAAGGAAACGGTGCATGTCCACACACCGTCTCCTCACAGAAAGTCCCAGCGCTGTGAGATGCGTTTGTGTTTGAGGCTGAGAAAGAGACGATTGACCGAACCTGCCTCGGAAGCTGCCTTTATAAGCACCTTAAAGGGACAGGCTGCAGCAGCAGCTGCCTTCTGAGCAGCTTCGGCCGGTGTGAAGAACAGGGTGGCGATGGAGACGATGGGCCAGGAGGACAGTGGGACATGTCAGGACAGTGCCGACCTGCCGTTCATCAGCAGGCTGTCCTCCTGGCCGGGTCTGGCCGTGAGCGGCATCGGCAGACAATGGGGTGTATTGTCGGCACGAAGAACAGGACGTTGGTGATAGGACTTCCGCGGTCGCACACCACATTGCCTGCTGGTGCCGCTCGCGGCCAGACCCAGACAGGAGGATGGCCAGCTGACAAGGTTCAGGCCAGTGCTGTCTTGACGTGTCCCACCACGACCACCACCGCTGCAGACTTGCTTGCTGTTGTGATCTCCAGCTCTGATGGTTACAGCTCCATGCTTCCAATAGCAATATCAATAGCAATAGCAGTAGACTTATATACCGCTTCATAGGCCTTTCAGGCCTCTCTAAGCGGTTTACA